GGGCTTTGAATGCCAAATGGATTTTTGATCCTAGAGGTGATACTGTCACTAAAGAAACAAAAGAGAGAATAACTGGGAATACGCATGTGCACACAAAGGACAATCTTGAGCAGAGAAGCAAAAAGCAATATCATTAAAAGAAAACATGATATCTATACAAGCAAAATATATCAATCTTGAAGACAAGATGCAGAGAGACAACTGAATTATAAGGACACAATAAGTAAAAAAACACAAACACCAAAAGGCACGAACAATAACAAAACAAACAACTACCACAACCCCCCCGCCACCACCTCAAATCTGGAAAGCATCAAACCATCAGTGGAAAGAACAAACAGTACAGTAATAGAGAAGCACACATGTATGGGAAGAAAGACTGCCAAGGTAACTCACACCCAACATCCTTTTTCTTCTCATAGGGTCCTCATGATGCTCCCCTGGGCACAACATTACTGCTGGGTAGCCTGCTCCACAGGGTTCCTTTCCATCACTCCACTCTTGTCCTGCTTGTGATGGCACAAACAAGATGCTCTCTCTCTAGGCTCTGGGCATTTTATCTGGTTGTTCCTCATGTCTGGAATGCACGCCTTCCTCATCTGTCTACTTCATTTCTTGGCTTCCTTTAAGACCCAATTAAAAGTTTGTGTGTGTGTACATATATTTGGTAATTAATCTCCTCTATTACACTGTGAGCTCTTTCAGGGCAGGGAGATATCTTTTCCCTCTTTGTTCATAATAAATGTTTGTTGACTGATTGATTAACTCAATTAACTGAGGTCCTTCTAACTCAACTGATTTCTTAGAGTAAGGGTTCTTAAACTAGCATTGGTGAACTTTTTTTTAATATTGTGATAACTGTATTTCAATATAATTTCCTTTCTTTGTAATCCTTTATCTTTTATTTTATGAATTTAAAAACCTTAATTTAAGAAGTTCATAGGTTTTACCAGACTACCAAAGGAATCTATGACACACCCAAGAGTAAGAACCCCCATCTTAGATAGTGCCTGCCATGTTACAACCAAATGGTTTTTTAAAGGTTACCAGGTGTGTGGTTGATTATTTAACTAGTCAATGGTTACATGCCTTAAAATGTCATCAAACTGATGGAGGAACTTTTTCATACCTCCTAAAAAAGCATAAACACTTTTTTATGCTTCCTTTAAAAGCTGTGATTAGATTACTCACAGTTTCTCACCCTTTACAATCTACAAATAGGTCACTGAGTATCTGAACCCTTTAGGTTCTCATACTTTACAAGGTATGAAATGATCCACTCAAAATCTGCAAGAGCTTTACCCTTTTGATGTAGAAATGGGATAAATACCTTACCATATTATTGTTTCTATTGCCTGCCCCTTATACTGTGAAATTTTATCTTATGGACTGTGGGTGTTTCAAATGATCAGGGGTTGGAAATATTTTTAAAAATTAAATTTTGTCAATTAACTAAAAGCAAAATAAGTTTTAACAAATATGCAGAGTTAAGCAAAACAAACTCCTGCTTTGGTCACATCCAAAAGATTTATATCACATTCTGAACCCTTCACCTGGAAGGAAGTTGGTAAGCATGCTTCATTATCAGTCTTCAGGAACCATGGCTGGTCATTGTGTTGATCAAAATTCTTAAGTCTTTCAAACTTATTTGCCCTTATAGTACTGTTGTTCTTGTATATATTGTACTTCTGATTTTGTTCCCATCACTCCACATCAGTTGAAATAAGTTTTCCCAGGTTTCTATGAAACTATTTATTCAATCATTTCTTACGGCAAAATAGTATCTCATTACATTAGTATACCATAATTTGTTCAGCCATTTCAAAATAGATAGGCATCTTCCCTTAGTATATAGTTCTTCTGACAATACAAAAAGAGCTGTTAAAATATTTTTGTGTGTATCATCTTTTTCCTCTTTCTTTGATCTCTATGGTGTGTAAGCCTGATAGTGGTCAAAGGTTATTCAGAGTTTTATCCAAACTGTAATTATTCTTTAGGTAAAATGAGGTACTACTAGGAATTAGCAGTTCAAGAAGTTTAGGCAGTCAGTTACTTTGCATGACAATTATTTCTTCGAAGAATTGTTTCTACCTCCTCAACTCATCTCCCATCTGTCTCTTTCACTACTATTAACATAGCCCACTACGCTATTTCAGGCCCCCATTGCCTCCTTCTTGGTCTTATGCAATACCCTTCTAATAGGGCTTCCTGATTCAAGTCTCGCCCCCCTCCAATTCATCTTTAAGGAAGCAGGCAAACACTGCTGTCTTGCCGCAGTAAATTCCAGTAGCTTCCTATTTCTTTTATATATTTTTTTATTTTTTATTTTTAGTTTTCAACATTTATTTCCACAAGATTTTGCATTCCAAATTTTCACCCCATCTTGCCCCTCCCCCCACCCCAAGATGGCATGCATTCTGAAT